ACTGCGTGAAATTTTGGGATCATGTTTGGGTGGGAAGCACTCCGCTGAAAGAACTTTTCCCTTCCTTGTATTCTTTATCACGGTTTAAAAATGAGTCGGTCTCCACTGTTTTGACCACCTCTAATTCAACCATTGATTGGAATTTGGGTTTTAGAAGGGCCCTTAGAGAACTGGAACTGAACCTCATTTCTAACCTGCTAAATATCCTTGAGGGGGGTGGTTATTAACCCCCTTAGGAGGGATAGTAGGATTTGGGCTCCTTCTCCTTCGAGTATCTTCTCTTGCTCCTCTTTCTTCAAGGAACTGGCTCATTCCCCTCCTATCTTTGGAATCCCTTTTCCAATTTTGGAAGTCTGCGGTAGACCAATTCCTCCCAGAATTAGTGTTTTTGTTGGGAAGTTTTCCTTGAAAAGTGTAACACTTGCGACTTACTTCAAAGAAAAAGACCTAATTGGTGTTTATCCCCACATTGTTGCATCCTTTGTAAGAAGAATGGTGAGACTTGCTACCACTTATTGGTTTCTTGCCCATTTGTTTCAGAAATTTGGTGTTGGTTTTTCTCTCTTTTTGGTGGCAGGTGGACCCCTCCCCCAAATGTTCAAAGCCTATTTCAATCTACTACTGTTAGGGGGCTAAAGAAGAGAGGGAAAATTCTGTGGAGGTGTGTAAGAGCAGCTGTATGTTGGACAGTTTGGGAGGAAAGGAATCAACAGACCCTTCATGGGAAAGAAAGAAATAAGGGTGTAATCATTGAACTGATTTCATAAGGGTGATCCATTGGGTTAAAACTTTGCAAAGTTTTGAAAATTATTCAGAAGGAGACATCATCAGGAAGTGGAAAGAAGTGGCTTGGTCAGCTCCAAGAAAGAATGTATCCCACCCAATTTGGTCCCCTCCAGTTTCAGGTTTCACTAAACTAAACTTTGATGGTAGTAGTGAAGGAAATCCAGGTCTGTCGGGTATAGGGGGAGCCTTCAGAGATGATGAAGGTCGAATTATTGCATTGTATTCTGGTTCTATTGGATGGGGGGACTCTCTTAGAGCTGAAATATTGGTTGTCTTGGAAGGGTTAAAAAGAGCGCAAGAGTTAAATATCAGAAAATTGATAGTGGAAGGTGACTCTAAGTTGGCTATAAATTGGTTGATGAAGGATACTTCTAGTCTGTGGAAGTTTCTGAATGAAAAAAAGAAAGTTAGACATCTCACCCAAAATATGAAATCAAGTTTCAATGGATAAAGAGGTGCGCCAACTCCTTGGTAGATTCATTGGCCAAACAAGGGGTGGGAAGAGTTAATTTCTTCTAGGCAACATTGTAATCTGAATTGCTTTCTTGGGAGGGTTAAGAATTTTTACCCCTTCTTTTGTACCTTTTCTATTATTATCTTTTAATAAAAGTCTCTGTTATTTATCAAAAAAAACCAAATAAGTATGATTCAATTCCTTAGCAAGAATTCATTGTTGAAAAAGTTCTGGACTAATCTTGTAAGATCTGCACCAAGGATTTGCCAGTACTTCTGAAAGAAGGGGTGAATCCATTTGGTCCTGGAGATTTATGGGGGTTCATTTCAAAGAGGGTTGCTTTCACTTCAGTTTCATCAGGTACTGGCACCAGATTTGATTTTTCTTCCTCGGAGATGAGGGAAGAGATTAAGCCCTCCAAGAGGTCATGGTTAAATTCCTCCTCTTGGCCACTGATTAGTAAAGTGTGATCTCTGAGGATTTTCCCAATTTGCTTTCTACTTGAAACCCAACTTTGATTTCCTGTTTTTAACCAATCAGATTTGCCTTTTCTTCCTCGGAGATGAGGGGAGAGATTAAGCCCTCCAAGAGATCATGGTTAAAGTCCTCTTGGCCACTAATTAGTAAAGTGTGATCTCTGAAGATTTTCCCAATTTGCTTTCTACTTGAAACCCAACTTTGATTTCCTGTTTTTAACCAATCTATGTTGTTCCATCTTCTTCTTTGATTGGGTTTGAAGGTGAAAAAATCTCGTGTTTCTATCTCCATCTTTTAACCAAAGCTCTCGAGATTTGAGTCTTCAGTCTTTTCTCATAAGTCAGCTAGTGATTGAATTGTTGTTCAAGATCCTTTGGAATAATGTTACTCTCCGGATCTAAGGGACTTTGCTGAATAGTTTGAATTTTTGTCTCTAACTCATTAATTTTCTCCCTTATGTTACCAAAAGTCTCCTTATTCCAAGGTCTTGGACCTTTCCTGATGAATTTTAGCCTTCTGGAGATTTTATAGGCCATCGACCCTGAGACTTGCTTTTGCTAGTTCTGTGAAATTAACTTTTCACAATCCTCATGTTCAGCCCACATTGGGAGAAAGTGAAAAGCTTGTCTCCCTCTCGAAAAAGAAAAGCTTGTATCAAGGATACGAGGGTTATGATCTGAATTAATAGTTGGAAGGACTGTTAATTTGGTCTCTGGGAATAGATCTAGACATTCTAGGCTAACAAAAGCTTTATCCAGCCTTTAACTAGTTTTCGATCTGGTTGCTTATTTGTCCATGTAAAGTAAGGTCCTGAGTTCCCTAACTCAGTTAGAGAATAGGAATCAATAACATGTTTTAGAGAACTTGAGATATGGTGAAAATGACTTGGACCTTCATAATCTTCAACATGAATAATGTCATTCAGTTCACCCATCATCATCCACGAATGATTTCGAAGATAAAGCTTACTTTGAGAGAAGTTCTGCCAGAATAGAGCTTTGTCACTTCTGCTAGGATGACCATAAAGAAAAAACAAGATGCCAGTGTTTGCCTTGAGGTCCTTGTAGAATTTTCAGTTCAATGAGTTGGTTATTTGAGTCAGTAATTTCAACTTTTAGTCCATCTTTCCAGTAACAAATAAGACCTCCTCGTAAGCCTTGGGCTTCTACTATTCCAAAGTTGAAAAAATTTAGTCTTTTTCAAAGTTTTAAGGCCTCCTGATGACAGAGTTTTGTTTCACAGAGAAAGCGGAAGTCCGGGTTGTAAGAGTTTGAAAGATTTTTAATAGAGCGTTGGGTCTCTTTTCCCCCACTCCCTCTAATATTCCACGATAAAATTCTCATTTGCAGAGCAACGAATAGTATGAACAGTAAGTAAAAGTAAAAGTAGGTGCAATATATTGAAACCAAAAGAGAGAAATACACTATATTTAGGATGTCAAATACCTGAAGGAGAATTGAAGCTATCGCTGCCAGCTGTTGATCAAAATTTGGTAGAGATTCCCAGTATTTCCACCAGTCCAAGTCATCCAGTTTATCAAGAGGATCCATGTGCTTCAGAGTGACTTCTATTCCAGTGAGAAGAGGAATCAGGTCCAGGGGCAGCTCTAGAAGTTCACAAGTAGGTTTAGTTGCCTCGCAGGTGATGGGCCCTATGTTAGATTGAATGACATGATTTGGATTGACTGGTTTCAGAGAAGAGATTTTTTTTATTTGTTTTTTGATTTTCCTTTAAGATGGTCCTATAGGGAGTTCTCACACTTAAACGGACACCCTCTTCTTTTGGCTCCTGTTGTTGGATCTATCAAACTTAAGCCTCCTGAGATTGTCGAGTAGATATGCATATTTTGCGAGTCTGACTTATCTGACTTATTTGGCTCTGACTTATCTGACATATTTGAGTCTAGCTTTTCTGATAGGGTGGCAGCTCTTACTTTTTTACGAGTTGCACTGTAACTAGACTTAGCACGCTTGCGTTTTGAAGAGGAAGATTTGCCCAACTCGCCACCTTCACTTTGCTGGTTCTGGCTCTTCATCTTGTCTTTGGACGAAAGCTTGATCTGCTGGCTGGAGCTTCCCAATAATCTTTGCTTCTTGTCTGCATTGCCCTCTTCTTCCAAATCTTCATCCGAACTCCAATCACGACATTTCAACTGAAGTTGTTTGCAAGGAGAATAATCTCGTTGGAGAACTCAAAGGTTTATCTGGTTTAAACTCAGCCTTCAACCATTCACCTGGGGCATCCATCTTTTGATCTTCCATCTCTTTTGCGACTTGATCGGGTGAGGTATTCGGAGGTATCTGTCTACATTTCTTCCACAATTGACCAACCAGACTGCAGTAGATGCAGAGCTTTGTAAGCCCCTCATATGAGAACTGAACCCAAACAAGCCCGTTGTTGTTTAGAACAAATCCCTTGGAAAGATAATTTCGAAGGTCAACTTCTAGTCGCAATCTTACTATTTTACCTCTAGTGGGAGTGCCTGTAGAAATCTCCTCGTTTTCAGGTAGCACTCTTCCTGCCACTGAAGTAAAAAGCTTACAATGCTGATTCGAGATGAACTTGCGTGGGATATCATGCATCTGCACCCAGAGTTTTTGGTGCCATATCTTCATCTTCTCTCTTGGTTTGGCGTCTTTCAATTCATCTATCAGCATCCAACTGAAACATATGAATATGAACCACGGACCACCATCTATGACTTTTTGCTTGTCATCTTTGTCTTCGAATACGAACTCCCATCCACTGCTATTATCATGCCCCACCCGAACAGGATTTTTTGGAGCCCAAACATTTTTAACAAAGGATTTTACATTTTCCTTCGTTACTTGGATTCTGGGGAAGATACGGCCTTTGAGAGTTCTTTGGATGAGGTCTTCCACTTCGGGTACAGGATCCACATGTATTTCCACAAAGGGTCCTGCTATTCATGAATAGCTAGGTCTTCACCAAGTTCGGATATCTGCTCCACCAGATGACTGTCAATCACCCGGCTCTCTTCATTTACTTCTTCAGCCATAGAGTTATTTGCCATATTGAAGAAGTAACAAAGAAGAAACAGACTGGGGAAAACTGGTAAGAATACCAAGAGACTGAGGAACAGCTATGCAGCACCCGGGAATTAAAAGCTCATAGGAGCAACAATGAAAAGCATGCCAATTGAGGAAAAAAAAGCTATGAACATTGATCAGCATCATTTTGAATAATTATTAGCTGTGTAGGGAAGCTAGTGGAATACAAAACCATCTCAGCCCTTTCTGTACAACCAAACAGTTACCAGGTTTCCTTTTCTTTTTTTATTTCTTTTTTAGTTTTTGTTTTTGTGGCCATTAGCAATTTCTGTATCAAGTCTGAACTCTGAGTGTTTCCTTAGCAACCTTCGAGGGGTTGTTCAAAAGATAGTTGGAGGGGGTTACGTACTTCGGTTATTAGTCTTTTTTTTGTTTCAATTCAGAACACCATTCTGGGAGAAAGCTTGACATTGTTCTCAACCACACCTGTAGCACACTGACATCATGGGTAATGGCATCATGCACTGGTAGCATTGCTTTTGTCAAATCACTGAAAAATCTTATCCAAACAGTACTTGCACATTTTTACTATTGGCAGGGAGATGGGCGGCCATTTTGGAAGTCCATTGTTTCTGAAGCTACTGGTTGCTCCAATAATGACTATTTTGAAGAAGTATATGAGGTGAATTTTCTTACAGTACTTAAGATTCTTGGAATTGATCCTCATGCTTCATTTTCAAAATACATTTTAGAACTATATAATCAAGATTCCCACCATTAATCAGAATCTAGATATTTCCATCTGAAGTGCCATTGATTGCTTTCATCAGTATTTTGCAAATGGTGATGCATGGAAACTTCCCAGTGGAGCTTTTGAAACAATGTGCCTACTGAAAGATGCTGGAGGTCATAACCACCATATATTTTCCTTCTTTTTCTTCTATTATGATGCATCATGTCAAACCCTCCTTTCTTGTTTTTGCCTTCTTGTTGACTTAGTGAACAATACTACAGTTAAATTGGTCGTTGTGTCCAACTTTGACACCCGCTTAAGGAAGCTATTGAAGGACCTCAATGTTGCAGATCTGTAAGCTTTATCACGTGTTTTTTAATAGGCTGTTTCCAATCATCTTATGAAACTCATACCTTGAGTTCTGGAGATTAATATTCTTTGGTTGAACGATAGAATTCCTGGCACAAGATCCATTGTGCAATCTTTATTAGGACATCTTTGGTTTTTCTATTGATGGACTTACCGATGATGCAGGAAAAGTTTACCCTTGTTGGTGTGCATATGTTTGTGCATTGTGTTCTCTTTTAAACTCCTGCCCTCCAAACCAATAGAAAGGAAAAAAGATAATTACATAGAAACAACACTTTTGCTATAAACAAGGATAACCACCATTGATGCTGATAAAAAAAAGGATAGCCACCATTGAACCAAACATATTATCATGTTTTTATGATTGTATCAAACTAATTTTCTTTTTGTTTTTTTCTTTAGGTTTGATGCCATTATCATATCTTCAGAGGTTGGATATGAAAAACCAGATCCAGAGATCTTCAGAGCTGCCTTAGGTTGGAATTTGGGTTAACTCACCTTCCTAATGTAAATAGAGACATGTTGATATACTTTGTCTAGATTGGTGGCTATGTCCTCCATTTATCCATTTGTTAACCAGTTTGAATGCGTCTACCTTGTCTATATATGTCTTCTGAGCTCAGGATGATGGCACTTGGTTTCATATTTTTCTTTATTTGTGTATGTGAATGGTGGTGGTTGTATAGACCATATCAATGTGGAGGCTGACAAAGTAGTACATATTGGAGATGATCAAAGGGCAGATAAGGTGGGAGCCAATTCCATAGGAATTGATTGCTGGTGAGTGAATGTTATATGATGCATGTATTATCTCTTTGTACATGTGATTTCTAATGTTGCCTTTTTTTGGAAACTTCAATAACATTCAGACTTGGGTCTTTTTGAAGTAAGGCAAGGCATGCATGTCTAGATGTCAAATCAGTGGTTCATCTTGATTTATGATAATGTTATTGTTCTGTCATGATTATGATTTCCATTTGAATGGCAGGTTGTGGGGATCAGATGTGAAGTCATTTGCAGAGATACAAGATCGAATTCTCAGATAAAATTCATGGGTTCCACAGAACAAAGGGGTCAGGATCTGTTGAGATGCAGCTTGCCTCAGAAATTGGCCATTAGAATCCCTCAAAATGGGCATTATGGGCGTCTAGAAAAGCATCTCAGGCATATGATAGCTCCAAGTTGGAAAGGGAACTTTGCAGCATTGATCTTAACTACAAGGTTCTATACAAGTCGCTGGTGTCCTTGTCTTAATCTTTTGGCTGAAAAAAGAACAAATGTGTCTAATTTGTCAAAGGGCTCTTGCTGCAAACCCTATTTTTATGCACTAAAATTCAAATAACAATGGTAACAAATAGTTTTTACCAAAACAAGAAACATGTAAAATAGCCGAATAGGATTAAAGTGTAGAAGATTATTGGGCTATAGACACGGCAAAATTGTTGGATTGAAATCCCCTGTATAAGATCCAAGGTTGAAAGTTTCGGGAGCTCCCCGATACGCCCCAGGGGATGTATCGGGGTTTGACCAGTTTCGGGAGCTCCCCGATACGCCCCACTGAACCGGTTTTGAAAAAAATAAAAAAAAGTATCGATATGGCCTAATACGCCCCTACCAACATATCGATATTTTGAACCTTAATAACATCATCAGACTAATTTCTTATGTGTCCCTGCTACGAGTCGCTTTGGTGCAGCCGGTAGCCCTTGAATGAAGCAAGCCTCTCAAGAATTGTCGGCAGCAATAAACACACCGCAAGAGTCGGGGACTGGGCAGTAAAAGTAGCACTAATCTCTTTGGTTCTGTAATTAATTGAGGGGAATAACATTGATCTCTATTCACATAAGAGATGCTAAGGATTTGGGTCTTTATGGCTTTGTAACACGTCCAACGAGAGGGAAAAGGGAAAAGATAACTAAACTGAAACAAACGAATTCTTCTTCAACTCAACTTAATTTATGATATAAATTTAGTCTTTATATCCTGTATTAAGAACTAAGTTAGTTAAAGGGATGGATCATAAATTACTAAGGAGAACCTGCATGGCCCAATGATCTTTTATCTATTTTTTAGTAGTAATTCTAAGTATTAATGCATGTGACGTAGGCTTAGCGGTTATATAACCATCAATGATACGTGAACAAGCAGATCCACCTGGCGCCCAAAACAAAACATAGAAGTGAACAAACAAAAAGGTGGTTGCAATGATCAAGCACTCAGGCTCAAAATGGAAACTAGCACCTTAGTTAAGAGTTAAGACTAGTCATGCAATCTGGCTGTCAGGGATTTAGTGGTTGTTCGGCCTGATCTTTCGTCGTTGATGGGTCGGTTTTGTTGTGGCCAAGAGTTGGGAGTCGAGTTCGGCTTCAGTCCAAGCTGAATGCGTTTGAACACCATTCGAATATTACGAGAGAATGACATGCGTTCATAAGTGCGTGTACATTTTATATTCGTGTGAGGATGGTAAGCGGGCGTTAAGTGTTTTTGCGAAACCCTTTTGTCTCTCTTCTTTCCCATGTCTCTCCAGTCTCCACCCAAATCGATCCATTTGCTATCCTTTCCAGCCGGCAAAGGCAAAAGGCATCACTAGCAGTAGAATCTTCTTCCATTGACCGACGAACGTTTAGTTGCAGATGGTGGATCGGTTGCAGATGGCAAAAGGCATCACCGTTCTGCTATCCTCTCCAGTAGGTTGCTAGCGGATCAGTTGCAGATGAAGCCATTCGTTGCAGGCAGAACATCACTGCCATCAACAGAACATATTCAACGTTTCATGGGAGAAGACTGTTTAAGAGAAGCAAAGAAGGAAGATTTACCTGTCGTCGGACTACAGAAGAAGATTCCACCGCTGGTGATGCTTTTTGCCTTCACCGATTGGAGAGGATAGCAGAACAGGGGGATGGGTCGATTTGGGTGGAGACTGGAGAGATGCGGGAAAGAAGAGAACTGAAAGGATTTTGCAAAAACATTTTAAAAGAGAGATGGTTAACGACGTTCATGATAAACGCCCGTTTACCATCTTCGCACGAATATAGAATGCAAACACGCTTATGAACACGTGTCATTCTCTCATAATGTTCGAATAGTATTCGAATGCATTCAGCTTTGACTGAAGTCGAACCCTTGCGAGTCAACTTCAGTAATCAGTACTATGACAACTCGCGAGCTAGGTCCAATCCAAGCTGTGAGTGGCAATCCTACGAGGCCTCGCTAGTGTGATCTTGAAAGATTGATAATGTGATCTTGTGAGATAGTGGTGCAACGTGCAATCCCATGATGCTGTGGTGGCACGATCCTGTGAGGCAGGAATCACGAGGTAAGCACGGTATACGATCTCATTGTGTTTATTATCCTACATTGTAATGGAGTGTGAGACCGGATCTGCCCCTCACACCTGGCGCCTCACTGGTGCCTCACACGCACATTCTACCATGCATTAAGAACATCTCCCATTTACGGGAGATGTTAATGCACGGTGGCTGTGAGTGTGAGGCGCCTATTTGTGAGGAGATCCCGTCACATGGAGTGTGTTCTGCATGACCTCGAAGTAGGGTTGGGCCCCACTCCCTGCAGTCTCATAGGACACAATCTTGGGTTCGCATCTGCCCCCCCCACAGACTCGCCCCGAAAAACGTCCCACAAAACCTATGTAAGACGCGTGTCATGACACGCACACTAAGCGCAACGTGTGCGGGCTCCATTTCACGCCGTTTCCAGCACCTTTTAATTCCTCTCTCGCCCAAAAGGGTTTCTTCTCCCATTCTACTTTGAACTGAAACCCTAGCGCCCAAAAGGGTTTTCAGCACCTCCGGTCGAGTTCCGCCGGCTGACGCCGACGGTCATACCAGCAGGAGGTAAGTAGATATATGTTGTTTAAGAAGTAAAATAAAAGAAAACCGGTTTCGATTAATAAGTGTTCGAGTTCCTAACTATTTCCCACGAAAACTTTGACGACGTAACCTTGTTATCAAAATGAATTTCTGCATCATCTTCAAACGTAGCATTGGAGAGACCAAGAGAAATTGCAAACTGGATAGCTTCAAACAAGCTAAGGTGAGTGAGAAAAATCCCCCAACAAGTGGTGCTATCAAAATGAATTTTAATGGAGCCTGTAAGAGGTCTCGTCCAGTGTGTAGCCAAAGCATCAACTTGGACGCCAGGAAAATCGATTAGGCCTGAGCTAATCGACCGGAGGTGCTGGCGGCTGGTATGGCCGTCGGCGTCGGCCAGTGGAACTCGACCGGAGGTGCTGGAAATTCTTTTGGGCGCCAAGGGTTTCAGTTCGAAGTAGAATGGAAGAAGAATGGGAGAAGAAACCCTTTTGGGCGAGAGAAGAATTAACGGAGGTGCTGGAAACGGCGTGAAATGGAGTCCGCACGCGTCGCGCCTATTGCGCATGTGTCATGACACGCGTCGCGCCTTTGCGCATGTGTCATGACACGCGTCGCGCATAAGTTTTGTGGGACGTTTTTTGGGAAGCAAGTCTATGGGGGGCAGATGCGAACCCCACAATCTTGCTCTCTTCTATCTTCTCTATCTCTTCTCTTTCGAGTTTTAAATTTCGATTCATTACCGCAGTCGCTCGAACAACCACCATCACCAACAAGCAAGAGGCAACAACAACGTCTGTGACAGTGGTCGACTGACAATAGTCTCGACGGCAACCACCATCACCGACAACAGCCATTATCTTCTCTATCTTTCCTTCGCCGCACTACCATTGTCAATGATAGTAGTCTCAACGACAACCACCATCATCGACGACAACCACCATCTTCTCTATCTCTCATTCTCCATCACTGCATTGCCATCATCGCTCACTGGCCACCACTACCACTGGTCGAATTTGAATCGAATCGAATATTCGATTTAATAATCGAAACTGAATTCGAACTCAAAGATTTAATATCCGTCGGATATCGAATCAAATTCGAATATTAGTGTTCATTGATGAGGGCAGATTTGGCCCTCCAGTGAAATTGCGACACATGGAATTTCGTGACAACTAGGCGACACCTAGGGAAAAACTTAACAAGTTGGTGTCCCACCGGAGCACTGGCCTGGCGTAGCCTGGCACGCGGCCTACACACGTCCTGCGCGCTGCCTGCACGTGGCCTGTGCACTGCCTGGCACGGCCTGCGTGACCTGGCCGACCTGGATCAACCTGGCACATGATCCGACCTAGCCGACATGGATCAGCCCGGCACATGATCCGATCGATGGACTAAAACGGCATGCATACCCCACGAGCTCGGTAGCTCACCAAAGAGCTCGCCAAGGAGCTCGCCACCAAAGAGCCAGGCAGCTCGGCAAAGCTTGCCACAAGCAGCTCGGCAAAGCTCGCCACAAGCAGCTCGGCAAAGCTCGCCACAAGCAGCTCGGCATAACTCCCCCGGGCAGCTCGCCACTTGTAGGGTAGCTCGGTACAAAATAGTAGTTTGGCGTATCGCAGGAAGATCTCCTGCCTGACAACCTGGCCCAGACACCGACCCGCCGACTGACACAGGCGTCGACCTGACAACCTGGCCCAGGCGCCGACCTGGCCGCCTGACACAAGCGCCAGCCTGACAACCTTGAGGAATTCACCACCGTACCCCGGTTCTGACAGGATGTGACGAGTCTTACTGTTTGAAGGCCTTTCACCCACCTAACCCGCGAAGACACCACTATATAAGGACTCCGACCCCCCAAAGCCAAGGGGAGGATGAAAAGGGATGGTAACCCCTGCTCTCGAGCTCTCTCATTTCTCTCCAAGCTCTCTGTAATCAGAATGCTAACTTAGGCATCGGAGAGTCCCCGCCGGGAAAATACCCCCGGGTCCTCTGATTCAGTTCTCGCAGGTCCCTCATCTCCCGCCGCTTACAAAGAGGAGGAAAAGATGGAGTTCTTGCAGGTCCCTCAGCTCCCACTGCCTACAAAGGAAAGAAGGTCACCTCATGCAGAGGGCAATCGGGTTGTGCTGCACCAGGGAGCTCCACCACTCTCTGAGTCACAGGCCGCATAGTAGAGCTCGCCACCAGGGAACTCGTCACCAAGCAGCTCACCACCAGGGAGCTCGTCACCAAGCATCTCGCCACCTCACAGGCAGCTCGCCACTAGGCAGCTTGCCACTAGGTAGCTCGCCACTAGGCAGCTCGCCACCAAGCAGCTTGGTACCTCACAGGTAGCTCGCCACCAGGCAGTTCTCCACCAGGGAGTTCGCCACCAAGTAGCTCGTCACCAAGTAGCTCTCCACCAAAAAGTTCGCCACCAAGTAGCTCATCACCAAGACACTTCACCACCAGGTCAAATAACGAGGTACTTAGCCAAAAAAAATTTATACATCACAAAAAATTGATACGTAACCAGAAACGGTTACATCACTCATAATCAATTTCAAATTCGAATCTAGCGTGATTCGATTCAAATTCAATCCATTTATAGGCCTACCAACGGCTGCACCACCCTTCATCATATGCTCTGCTCCTCTTTTTTGCATGCTGTATCTTGTAAATTAATTACTGGTCTCTATTTTAACTTGGGCTTGGAAGCTTTAGATTTGAGCATCTAGTAGTACCTTCATTTTTCAATGTCCCTTCTAAATTTTCTTCCTCAAATTGTATTTAAGTTCATCTAGAATATCTATGCAATGTTCAAAACTCCCTCCATAGACAGACTAACACATGATTAAATTTTCCATATCAATAATGACTAGAGAAGGAAATTTGGCTTGTCCCCGTGGGGCTCTGCCTGGTCCCCACACCAATCGGGGCAGGTCTTTTGACCACTAATTGGGGTTTGGGGTAGGTTTCGGGGAAACCCAAAACTATGGGGGACTGGGGATTGGGTGGGATGGTATTTGTCCACCCCAACCCCAAGGTGAAACAGTATGCAAGTTGGAATAACCGGCACAATATATATATATATATATATATATATATATATATATATATTACATGATAGGTAAGTTTTGAAAAAAAAAATTATAAAAATGCAAATTGAAATGACCAGGGCAGGGCAAATTCAAAGATCCTTATTCCCTGAGGGTACGAGGATGGGGTTGGGATTTCTAGCGCCAGAGGGGTCCTGGGCAGTGCATTTGAGTTCGGGGTTGGGGACGAGGCATGCAAAACGCAGCCCCACCCCCACCCCCACCCCGTTCTCATTCCTAATAATGACCCCTAAAATGTCCTCCCAAATATATAACTTTCACTTCTCCATCTCTAGTAGTAGACTTACCTACAGGGGTAGAGCAAGTACTTCAAAGTCCTACTAAAATTTTAAGGATCATTCTGTAACATTCCTTGAATTCTTAAAATTAAAAAAAAAAAAAAATTGTTTATTATCCCTCTAAAAGAAGATTCCTGACTCTGTCACTGCTTTACCTATGTTAATTTGAATTCACAAATTTTGTAGTAAAGTCAGCAGAGTGTGGATGTAGTTCCTACTAACTACGGATTGGTTCCTTTAACATAAAGAAAAAAATATTCAACGTTATAGTCGTTTACCCCAGTTGCACCATCTAAGCTTAACATTGTTTTACGTTGCCTAAGATCTGTAACAGAATGGTAAGAAGTCTCCCTATTCCTTAGGGAATGGTTCGGTTTCACAAGAAGAACAAAATTTGTGAAATTCCTTAATAATCTTCCTTCAACTAATTAAATCATCTGATTGTGGAATATTCATCAAATTATAACAAAATTCCCTGTCGGTACATTAAAATGTAGAGTAAAAGACTTTAACATACTGAGTTTTTAAAATAGACATGCATATATCTTATGACTCTTTGAAGGGTCCTCCTTCAAGGCTTCAACAAATGATTTACACTACACTATCTATTTCAAATAGACGATTAAATCTCGTCTTTAGCGTGCATGTTATGTACAATTCAATATTTAAGTTCATTGCTGGGAGGTTTCAATTTCACGTCTTTGAGAAAGCAAGGAGAAGAGCGAGTCCAAATTCCCTATATTTTCCTTCAAACCAAACAATGCATAAAGGTGAGCAACATTATATAATTTTAGAACTTTATCTACCTATTTTTTATCTTAATTTTATGGGCGCACTTACCTAATTGACTAACTATACCCCTGATATTTACATGTTATCTTAAACTACTGCATCAACATTATTCGACCAAGCAAGACTGATCGCCCATCTTCGTTGTTGACGGAGCCACTGATTTGAAGCTAGATAGAAGTCACTCGCTTGAAGCCAAAAAAACAATTTCATCCTCTCCTCCGCTCTGCCTCCTCTTTCTCCGAAAATAGTTTCTCCTAATTTCTACCTCTTTGCCATTCACACAACCCCACAAAAATAGTTTCTCCTATCACCAAACTGGAGAGACAGGAAGTTGGAACCGCCGGAACTGTAGATCAGACTACAATAATCTCATGTCTCCTCTCATGGTAAAATCATATTGAAAGAAACAAGAAGTCAGAATCGTCGGAAATTCAAATCGGAACTGCTGGAACTGTAGATCAGACAACAATAGTCTCAGATCTCTCACCAAAGGGGAAAAGGAGATTTAAAGAAACAAGAAGTCAAGACCGTCGGAACTGTCAAAATTGCAGAGGTCGGAGGGGAGAAGGGAGTGCCGCTGCTCTGCCACTGCATCAAGTCTCTCTCTCCGTCTCCCTCTAGAACTGTCTGGCATTTTGGAATTGACGAAGGAGCTTTGTTCGGTTCCCTACTTTTCGTCTCCCTCTTTCCGTCGCCTATGACCTTTAGCACGAGGTTAAGGGGAGCTTTCTGTCGCCGACGGCAATTTTGCTTTTTCTCTAATAAGCACTTAAATAAGCATTTGTAACTATTTTGTCATTCATTTTCTTTCAAAATTTTAAAATATGCCCTTTGAAAGAACTTTTATAAAAGTACTTTTATGAAATCACTTTTATAAAAATACTTTTATGAAAGAACTTTTACAAAAACAAACACTTTTGAGAAAGTACCCTTACGAAAGCACTTTTATGAAAGTACTTTTATAGTGTTATAAAAGTACTTTTATAAAAATACTTTCATAAAAGTGCTTTCGTAAGGATACTTTCTCAAAAGTATTTTTGTAAAAGTACTTTTATAAAAGTGTTTTTATAGAAGTGTTTTCATTAAATTACTTTTATAAAGTTCAACTAGGGATAATTTTATATAAGTGATATTTTAAAATTCAATTAGGGATAATTTTAGAAGAAAAAAAATTGAATAAGTGCTTATTGTATAAACACTTAAAAAAAGCTGGAAATTTAGACTTAAAAAATAAGTCCTTATTTTTAAAATAAGCACTTATCTCAGGCTTATTTCCCAAATACCAATAAGTGTTTAATGGCCCAAATAAGCACTTATTTTAAATAAGCACTCCCAAACATGGCCTAACTCTTTTACCCTAATGTAAGTTCACAATCATCCTAAGGTGGTGTTTGGTATCATTGCATTGAGTGCCAGTTTCTTTGATATATTAGGGCCAAGGTTCAAAGTATTAGAATGGTGTATCATATTAGTAAGCTTAGATACAGATACGTAATACAATACGCTTTGAAAATACATGGATACGACAGAAAGAGATGTATACTTCTGGATATATTGGGGAAACTTACAAAACATCAATAATAATAAATCTAGAGTTAAAATAATTATGAAAAAAATTATAATCACATAAAAAAATTCAAACTTTCATAGCTTATATGAAGAGAGATATAACAATCAACGGTACAGGAAATCTAGAACATATACATCTCAAATAATAATTTTACAAATAACACATCAAACAAATGTTTGAAACTTTGAATCAAACAATGTTTGAGCTTTCATTATACTAAAAGTTTACTAACAAAACACATTAATATTATTGGATCAATGAGTTTGATAAATCCATTTATATTTATTTTCTATAATGAAAATCATTTAAAACATATAAAAAATCATTTATAATTATTTTATAATTTCCTATAGAATGTTGGAACAGCCTATAGAAATTGTCAAAAAATTCGGAATAATCAATACTTTTTTATCTATGCTAGTGATCATGGAGAAAAGACCGCTGGCATAGGTCATCATCATTTTTTAACAACTTCCTCATATTCCGCAATTGGCCAAGGATAGAGATTAGAAAGGTCCGAATCTTCACTGGTTTCTGGGTCAGTGGTTTGACCACCCCGTCCAAATGGGTGACCCATTGCAATTAAAAAATAAATAAATAATAAATAAAACTTAATTAAAATAGAAAAAAGGCCCAAACCATGCCCAGGTCAAACAGGTAGACAGTTCAACCGCCAGGGTCAGTGGGTAGCTGACCAAATCGATGGTTTTTGGCAAGATACTAGTTGACTGGACAGTTTTGCAGGCCGAATGGTCCGACTGTCCAGGTCAACAACGGTTTGGAAATCATGGTTAGACCAGTACAGGATTCTAATCTTAAATTTACAATTTCTTTAACAGCTTCAAGGCTGTCAACTTTTCTGCCTCCCACTCCAATTCTGTAACAGCCCAATTCTGGAAAGCTTTCTGGTGTGTGTTGCTAACGTGGCAGTTATTGTTTTCAAAAAGCAAAACCGTCTGTTGAACACCCCCTAAATTATCTCATTTTTCTTGAAATTCTGCTCAAGCCATACGGATGCGTTTGCGACTGGGTGTAGCTCCTACAACAGTGGGGAATAAGCTCATACATGAAATGGTTTGAGGAAATGGCAAGAAACCAAATTACGTTTTCTGTCCAAATCAGAAAAAAAGAAAGGCAAATGTTGCAGTTTTTCACAATCAAAGACTATTTGAAAACACAAAAAAATAGTACAGAGAAATAGCAAAATAACAGCCAAAATCTGCAAATAAACAGATCAGAGTTCTACTTAAGTACTTATAAGTAGATGGATCCTTTAAGGCCTACTACTGGTGCAACAGCAACTGGCTATGTTCTAATGAATAGATCTTGTAAAGCATTCACAGCAGCAGGTGAGCAATGCAAGGCAAGGAGGCGCACAGATGGAGAATGGCGGGCCCTCATCAGAGGATTGGAAGCAGCTTGTTTGAAGAATATCAAGGAAATAGTAGCATTTTCTGATGCAAGGAAGCTTCTACAGTAACTTCCTCAACAACAAAGATCAAGGACTGAACTTCAATTAGCAGACCAAGCTGATGGCATTATAAAAGTTTTTCAAGAAGTTTTGCATGCAACAAGTAGATAGAGAGCAAAATACTATTGCTCATACTTTAACTTATAATGCTTGAAAATATAATCAGGAATAACTTTTTCAGAAATCTGAATCTCACATGGATGTGCATATGATTAAGTTATTAATAAAGTTTAAGATTTGCCTCCATGAAATAAAAATACACGCTTGTCGCAAGCTTTCAAATGGTAAAGGGAAAGGTTCAAATTATCAAAGCATGATCTAGCATTCTATACATCCTTTTTCTAACTTTCAATGCTCCATGCTTCAGGGTTTAGGTAAGATAGGGAGAGGTGTAATGATTAAACCTAGGGGTCCCCCTAAATCTCTTTAATATGGCGTTTCAGTGGGTTCACTGATACATAACAATATTTTGAACATTGGTTAAAAGGTGTCCTAATGTGTTTATACATATAGAAACCCCCTAAATCCTAGCATATAGAGTTTCAGTGGCCCTGAAAACCAATACAATGGTACAATACGATGTATCAATACTTTGAACCATGTCAGGCCTTACAATGCCGAATGCATAATAGCATGTTTTTGAGGCCACCAGCTTCAAAGACAGCTTGGCCAACCCAAGGCCAGAAATCCTCACATATATTGTTCCTGTCATTAACCTTGCCCCAAATATAGTTCCAGTTAATCAACCAATCCCGAGCAACTCCTAACTTACAAGATAGGATAATAAATTATAGCATTTAAGGAAAAACAAATGAAGTAGAGCAGAGCAGGAAGGCATAAGAAAAAAATTCAAGGAACACCATGGACTGCAGTAATTCAATGACATTTTCACTTACCAAATGGAGAATACAACTACCTGCAAGGCCTAGCCCTGACAGGAGAAAAGAAAACAGCAAAGTAGTGCTTTCAGGCAAGATATCGATACAATTTCCGGTCTGTTTTGTCCCTTTCCAAGAACTCCCGTTCAATGAGGGACTCAATCCGTTTCTTGATGACAACAGGATTGGGCAGGAACCGTGATTGCAACTGCTTTGTGACCTCAGCAACAATGTTGTTGTGATCCAAGACACGCCTCGATTTCATGATCCTCACAATTGCAGCCTCAATCTGGGGCTTCCTGTCTTCTTCAACCCTCTGTCGGGTCTCCTGCTTTTCTGGCTCAGACTCCTTTTGTGCAACTACAGTACCTATCTTCACCTTGTAGAACTTGCTTGTGAACTTGTCATTGAAGAAGAAGGTATCATCTTCACCAATGTCCTTGCTCATGGGCTCCTTCCTAAGGACATTCTTCCCCTTCACACATGCCAAGGACTGCATGCACCTCTTCAAATCTGAGGCTGGAATCTCAGTGGCCTGCTCAATCTCCTTATAGCTCAACCTATCACTGTTATTGAACAACATGAGGATACACATCTGATACGTAGAAACATTCAACTCATGCTTCTGACCCTTCCCAAATGTCGCTTTGAGATCAGCTGTCCCCATATTTGTTTGCCATGATAATCTCCTCCCAGTGTGTGTTCCGAGATAATAGGTTCGGAATTTCTCACACACCCCCAGTATCTCAGCTGGCAGGTTACAAGCGGCACTCGGTTGGGTTGGCCAAGACCCTGTTGTGAGAACTTGGACTGCAAGTGTAGGGCTATCCCCAGTGTCAGCAGCCTGGCTAGCATAGAAACCTTGCATTGTATCCTGAGATGTCTTCATGTCTGTGAACATACCCTCCAATTTGGAAGTAAATTGATATCCACATTCTGTCTTCAGCTTAACAATCAGACTTCTCTCAGCATCATCAGATACAGTTTTTCCTGACAAGAGCCGCTTCGCTAGGTGTTGCTTGTAGTATTTCTCAAAAACATCCTTCTCTTGTAAGTAACGGAATAGCATCATCACCTTGTCCAGGATGATCTCTACATCCTCCTCACTCACACCCTTCAAGCCTTTACGGAGCTTGTCATCTACAAACAAGGAAATAAACTCAGGGGACCTTGGATTCAAGTTAATGAAGTACTCAAAGGAGGAATTCAAAGCATTCTGGAATGTCTTGTCATTGCTGAAGGCCAAGCTGATTATCTTATCGTGTTTATCTTTTTCATCTAGGAGCCTCTGGACAAAGTCCACAGGATCCTTTAATCTCTCTGGGTCAGTAACTAACTGTTTGCCGGTTTCCCGAATATGCGCAGTCATGACATCTCTTATAGTCAAGAGCCCATCAGGAACGCGGCGAAACAAGCTGTACATTCTCTTCAAATCATCATACTTGTCATCCACAAGCATGCTCACCAGGCCCGAGTTCTCCATGTGCACTAATCTCTGCATGTGGTTTGCAATCATCTCTTTTTCCACCACATTAGTTATCTTAGCTTCACTCTTGGCATCCAAATAGTGTGATACTCTCTCCATTTCTTCATTTAGACGTCTCTCAGCTTTCTTAAGATAATCGCCACAATCACAGCACTCTATAAACTGCTGAGACTCAAGACTGTAGAAATTGGAGGAGACCTCAAGAAATGGCTTCTCAAAATCTTCTTGATAGACAGAAGAACCTAATTCCATTAGCATCTTTATTATATTTCTCATCAACCCTCGATTTATAACTTCACCAGTCCGTTCTCTGTGGACAAGTTCAAGAAGTGTATCACGAAGTCTATTCTGAATTTTGCTTGAGTGGATGATATTGTCCCTCCAAAGGTTCAAACCAAGCTCATGAACGGGGGTCTTGTGTGTACTGGGGATAAAAGTCCTGTCCATGTACATCAATATATCTCGGATCATCTGCAATGCCTTGTTATGATCTGCCCATTTTCTATTAAGCTCTTCCAAAAATAAACTTCCTTGGGCTGCCTCTATTGATTTTGATATTTCTTTTAGATGCGTTGTCATAGTTGTCACAAGTCCTGAGTACAGCTTCTCTCCAAATTTGTGCAGCACCATATTGTAAGCATTCCTGAATTCATAATAGGAAGCCATATCAGAACACAAAGTTCTTCAATGCAAGAGTAAGACTAATTATGCAACAGGAAGGCAGTCCACAGGTTACATCCATCTATTGCACAGGTTATACCTTATGTACTCAATATGCAAAAAAATAAATGCTATAGAAAATTAGACTTGAGAGAGAAGGGCAATGCAACAGGTATAGAAGCAATATTCTGGCTAGAACAAATCTTCATATTTACCGAAGTGGTTTTGAAAGTCCACAATATTGCCATTTATGTCTCAAAAGAAACAAGTGGTTATACCCCTTCTAGTGTCCTTTTGTAAGCTCAAATATATATCAAATTCGTTCTGATCACTAGAAATCTGTATCACTTATTAGTCAGTGCAAGTGTAATCTATACTCCTTTAAACCTGTTAAACTTTCATAATAACAAGAACACACATCATATACCATTCAGACATAAAGACAACTTCTAATCCTAATAAGATCTAATCAAACTTCCAAAGACCACCTAAGAAAGCACATCATACCACTCTATCAACCAAAATACCACTGAAAGGAATGTTGCACTATCATGTGTAGGTGTGCCAATCGGACAGGTTTGGGTGGGTTGGGTTTGGGTCGAGCTTCAACCCAACCCATCTAACCTGTCAATCCATTTATGACCCATTTATATAAAATGAAATGGGTTGGGTTGAACCTAAACCCGCCTAAACCCAACCCAACCCGCCCAACCCATGAATCTTTTACTCATTGAACGACACAAGCATGAACTGTAGAAAAATACAGAAATTATAAAACATAGAACATGCAAAAAAAATACAGAAGAACATAAATATAGAAAATAACTAAAATTGCAAAAATATAGCCAAAATTACATAAACACAAAAAATGAAGAAAATTAATATAAATTACCAAAAAGAAAGAAAACCCAGAAAACATAAATTACAGAAACATGAAAAATGAAGAAAATTATAAAAATTACAGAAAATATAGAAACGCCACCAAAATAACATAAATTGCAAAAGAAAAGGCAAAAGTTATAGAGAAAACACAGAAATGTGGAAAATAACAAAAAAAATACTGCAAAACATTCCAATATAACAGATAACAGAAGCTGCAAAAGAAAATATAACAAAAATTACAGAAAATCAAAGACAAAAAGAAACTACAAAAATATGTATATAAATCTCAGAAAATAAAAAATTATAAAAAAATAACAAAAATTATAAGAAAGTATGAACATTATAAAAATATAACAGAAAGTATAGAAAGGTAGAACTTCAGGTTGTCTGGATTCTATTGGCTAGAAAAGGAGTATCTTCTTTTACTAGGGCCAACAAATGCCATGACATCACCTCTGATTTTGCCTGTGAACTTGAAGAAATAAGATTCATGGAAGGATGCCCTGGTAGTTTTGTGAGTTCATGACATCACCTCTGATCTTCCACATGTCTGAAGCACATCACACTCTGTTTGGGGACGAGTGCAGACTTGTCCATATTGTTGCAACTGAACAAAGCTAAAAAAATATAGAACAGAGCATAACAGAAATAAATGAATCGGCCCTGTGTCATCATTGTAGCAGCTTTGGTTCACGTATGGAGGGATTGCTGCTGCTGAGTTAGTGTTGGTTAGGGTTTGGATTAGGGTCATCTAACTCATTGAGAGAGGGGGTAAGGTAGGGTTAGAAAATCACTTGCTGAGATCTTCAATCACGGATTAGGGTTCGGAGGAGAGAGAGAGAGAGAGAGAGAGAGAGAGAGAGGGTGATATTGGATTAAAAAAATTACACATCACATGATGTCACATGTGTAGGGATTTTGAAACCCAGAAAACCTGCTCTGATACCATGTGGTGATTTGTGGGGATTGGGAGAGAGAGAGAGAGAGAGAGAGAGGGGGGGGGGGGAGAGAGAGATGTGGAAAAGAAGGAAAGCAGAAAAAAAAAATTGAAAATTCCTAATCTGTTAATGGATACCTGTAACCCAATCCGTTAAGTCTCCTTTTATTTGGAGAACCAACCCACTACTGACCCAGCACTAAAAAGATACGACCCAACCCGTTAATAAATGGGTGGGTTTAACGGGTTGGGTTGGAAATTGCCATCCCTAATCATGTGCCCTGAAACAAGATCTCGCACTGCAGATATGTAAGGGATTGATAAAGACCATTAGAACATAATGACACCATGTTTGGAAACAAATTATACTAGAACAAACAAGAATTTCAATTACCACTTTCTGCAATGTTTCAAACCATTAGGAGTGATAAAAAATGTTTCCAACCAGAGAATGGGGTAAACATTTGGAAAGGGATTCAATTACTACTTTCTGCAAGATACACCTATCTTATGGGGTAAGCATTTGGGAAGGGATAATTTAGTTGAAGCAGCTATTTTGGAATAATATTAAGTTCAAACCAGAGAATGCAGATCAAATAGAGGGTAAGGGGACATACTATGAAGAGAATGAAATGTGCTTGCAAAATTTCTGATGCCCTTTTCTTTCTCTTGCATATATTTTTTTTTTTTTTGATGAATTTTCTCTTGCATATATTTTATACCTAGCAAGAAACACCATCCCTCAAAACAAGAACAAGGATGAACCGATGAAGGTCTAAGAGTTGTGGGTCATAAGGAAAGAGGCACTCCTGTTAAAGCCATCATACTGGGGCTACCAAAGTGTAGAACAAATCAGATTAACAGACCCCCAACACACAGAGATGTAGATGAAAAATGGGGGAAAAATTAAAAACAAAAAAGGGCATGCAATAGATAGCTCTTGGATAACTATAGCCTACAATTAAGATACTACCAATAGTAACATAAAATAAATGAACATATTCAATAATCCAACATGTTCAGTTTTCAAAATCTGTCCAAAGAACCAGAAGATCTGATTGCATTTACATTTGGAAAATTGCTCTCTTGGATCTCAGCTGTAAAGGGGTTTCAGGTCTTCTCTCATCTGGAGGCTAGATTGTCCTTGGAGAATTTGTGGAATTTGTAATGTTGATCTTTCCCCAAAGTCTGGTTTTTGGGAGGATCCTCTTGTACTTTTATCTCATCTTTAATGAAACTACCTTACCTTTTCTCAAAAATAAAAAAAAAAAACATGTTCAGTTTGTAATGTATAAACCAAAGATTTTTTTGCTCCAAAAATCAATCCAATTGGATGAATTAACCAACTACAAGTCCAAGAAAACAAGGGCTGTATTGTTTGGAAAAAAAAATCCATTTATTTGATGGTTAGCCACATCCAATCAAGATATTTTTGGTCTAGAATATCGGCATTCAGTCTACAAATATTTATTATTAGTTTGAAAAGAATTTCAACCAGTTGTGTACTGCCATACTTATAGTAGTAATAGGGATACTATACTTATAGTAGTAATAGGGATACTGAATGGTTCTCCAAACAAAAAATAAATCCAATCTTAGAACAACAACAAATGAAGTGGAAGGAGTGTGCAATGATGACAGTAATACTGGCATTCTCAAATGTGATACAATCATAACAATAACTAGAAATTTCTTGTATTGATTTTTGCAAGAAATGTTAAACACATCAAGAGAACAAAGAAGAATGCATGAGAAGTGCTATGCTAAAAAACATTAAAAGAATTTTAAAAAAACAAAACATACTATTTTTGTACTTGTAATTGGATAAACTAGTCCACATAAAGTTGTGAACCACATATTGTGGGGCGAGAGGGCAAAGGGGTGACAAATAGTGTTTATAGGGTTACTTCATGATGCATAAACATTATGTCATTATCAACCCTTAACATAGATAGAAAACAATATATCACATGAATCAAACCACAGTTGCAAATCATATTTTGCTTTTATTTCTGTGTTTAAGTAAAAGGAAAATAACAGAAAGCCACAGTTCCTAAAGGACCACCATAGAATCATCACTCGTATTTAGTTGTAATATACCACTTTATAACAATAAAGGAAGTAAGTATTAAGCATAAATACTTACTGCACAACAGTAGAAATATCAACACAAAAGCAGGACCAAATACTCAAGCACTGGCCAAATTTGGGTAGGTTCTAGCAAGTTTTATAAGTTAGTTAATTAATCGATGTTAGGATCTTTTCTTGCTTCTTAGTCTTTCAATTAAACATTATTTTGAACCCCTGATATGTTACAAAATTGTTTGGATAACTTGAAAACAGTGTTTTAAAAGTGCAAGACGCCAGAAAAGCATGAGAGGTTTTTTTTCAACTCCATACTACGAAGGGACCTTAGCCATCTTCATCCTCCTTTGAAGCATGTTCCAGGAGTCATCTTGACAGCTGTCTCCCACTCAAAAACTAAATCTTGGGGGAATTAAAACCCTCAAAAGTAACCGTACCTAAGGGGGAAAATATAGCAGGCAAGATATTGCAACAAAGCCTTGAAGAAAGGAGAATGAGGAGAAAATGCGGTCAGATATCAAACTCGACAGACCAAGCATCAACCCTACCTTGAAGAAATGAGAAAGGAGAATGAGGGGAAAATGCTTATGAACTAAGAAAATGAAAACCTCCATCAACCATAACAGAGAGACCTAATATAACCAAATTCCTACATAGAGAACTAAAATACCATGAAAAAGCATGGGTCAGAAAAAGAAACACAAGAAACTTCATCTTTGATGCAAGAAATGGAACAAAGACTGAAATTACTGTAGTAGCGAGCCTAGCGGCCCACCAAGGTCCTCTAAAATCTTACACTATCAACCCTACCTACTCCATACTTCGTTAAACCAAGTACAGAGATAAACGAACCGGTATTACCAGTTTCTAGAAAACTAGTAGCCAATATTGAACCAAAGCCAATCGGTTTACTGGTTCGATTAACCGTCGGTATGGTTTGTCAGTTTTTATATTTACAATATATATTATAAAAATATATAAATATATAATAAAAACTAGAAATGTATATAAAATATTATATCTTAAAAAATAAATAATATATTATATATTATAAATATATATTTATATATAATGCATTTTATTAATTTATATTATATAGAAAATATAAATATATATAATATACATAAATATGCATAAAATATATAGAAATATATGTATACCAGTCAGTTCGGTTAACCTCCGGTTTTTTATATTGGTTAACCAAAACCGAACCGGTACCTTTGGTTTTTTAAAAATACCAAACCGACCCCTACAGGTTTGAAGGACGGGTTTGAACGTTGTTTAACATTTAAACCAACCCCTACAGGGAAAAGCCTTAAAAAAGCTGTATCAGCCACCTACTGATACGATACAATACACCAAATATGGGGCATATGGTTTCAACAATGGCCTAAAACTTTTTACAGTTTCACTTTGGTTGGAACTTATGTAGCAAATTTAGTCATATTCCAGCTTCTCAGTAATCAGTACTGAGGCTAGGGATGGCAATTTCTTCCCTACCCAACGGGTACACACCTTGATGGGGTGGGTTTTTTTTGCTTGAAGGATGGGTTTTTTTTTTTTTTTTGGGGGGGGGGGGGGGGGGGTGGACAGGTATTGCGATTCTACAACCTATATGGGTACAGCTACGGTACGGTATTAGTCTAAACCCAACCCACATATTGTTGAACAGCATATGAGCTTGGTATTAGGTGTTAAATTTAATAATCTTTTGAATTTTATGTGAAGAATAATTGATAGTTTAGATGGACTCACAAATCTTTCTACCTGAAGCGCTAGAATTTTGTAAAAGAAGATTTGATGAAAGTGTTCCAGGCATTTCATTCAAATGCATCGTTGTAAAGAAGCTTGAATGCCACATTTATTACTCTCATTCCAAAAATTGAAGGGGCTATAAATATTAAGGATTTTAGGCCAATCAGTCTTCTACACAGTTTTTACAAAATCTTGGCTAAAGTCCTGGCAGAAAGAATGAAAGGAGTGTTAGGCAGTGTAATCTCCAATAACCAAAGTGCATTTGTTCCAGGGAGGCAGATGGTGGACTCAATTCTAATTGCTAATGAGCTAATTGATTCTAGAAGAAGAGAGGGAATTCCGGGTGTGATGTGTAAACTTGATATTGAGAAAGCATATGATTTCATCAACTGGAATTGTCTGGATCGTGTGTTGGACAGAATGAACTTTGGGCAAAAATGGAGAAATTGGATCAGAGTTTGCATTAAGACACCAAAATTTTCAATCCTAATTAATGGTCAATCCACGGGTTTCTTTGGGAGCTCTAGGGGTTTGAGGCAGGGAGATCCTCTGTCCCCTTTGTTGTTCATCTGTGTCATGGAAATTCTCAATATTTTTAGTAAAAAAGCTGCAGATGTTGGTTTATGGAATGGGTTTGCAATCTCCCCTGGAAAGGAAAAGGTAAATATCCTGCAATTTGCAGATGATACCTTATGTTTTGTTGATGCTTCTGTGACTCAATTGGAATTAGTGCTTAGGGTTCTGAGTTGGTTTGAAGTGGTGTCTGGTCTGAAAGTGAATTTGAATAAAAGCCAGATTATTCTAGTGGGCCATGTTTCAAACTTAGAAGAGTGTGCAAATGTGATGGATTGTCAAATTGATTCCCTCTCGGTTAAATATTTAGGATTGCCTCTCGGGGCTAAAGTCTCTTCTTCCTCAATCTGGTGTTCAATTATTGAGAGAATGGAGAAGAAATTGGCCTCGTGGAAGGCAAAATGTCTATTGTTTGGGGGTAGGGTTACTTTGATTAAGAGTACTCTCTCCAACCTACCCACTTATTTCATGTCTCTTTTCCCCATCCCAAACAAAGTTGCAAATAGACTGGGGCAACTCCAAAGGAATTTCTTGTGGAGGGGTTGGGAGGATGAAAAGAAAATTCACATTGTGAAGTGGGATCAAGTATGTCTCCCTAAGGAAGCTGGTGGGTTGGGAATAAGAAAGCTGAAGAAGTTTAATTCTGCCCTTCTTAGCAAGTGGTTATGGAGATTTGCTTCTGAGAGGAATGCATGGTGGAGAAGCCTTATTGCGGCAAAGTATGGTGTGGAATGGGGTGATTGGAGATCTAAGGAGCCTAATCTCAATGGAAGAAAATCCCTCTAGGCAGTTATCTTGAAGAGCACTCGATTCTTTCTGGATGGGATCAGATTTAAAGATGGTAAGGGAGATAGAATCAAATTTTGGAAGGATCCCTGGTGTGTAGTGGGTCCACTGGCTGATGTTTTTCCTTTTCTTTTCCAAATTGCTGTGAATCAAGATTCTTCAGTTGCTGAAAATTTCAGCATTTCTGGTGATTCTATCATTTGGACTCCTCTTTGTAGGAGAAATTTGTTTGACTGGGAAGTGGAAGAGTATGGGGAGTTGTTGGGGCTGCTCCAAAATTAGAGGATTGATTCGAACTCAGAGGATGGATGGGTTTGGAAGTGGAATGCAGATGGTAGCTTTTCAGTCAATTCCCTTTTTCTGAAGTTGTGTGATTCAGGTCATGAGAATTTCCCTGTTAGGCAGATTTGGAATCCAACTAGTCCCTCCAAGATCAATTTTCTGGTAAGGACTATGGCCCTTGATAAATGTCTGACTAAGACTAATGTGGAGAGACGAGGTATTCGGATCCTGGATCTCTCATGTGGTTTGTGTGGAAAGAGTGCGGAAACTACAGATCACTTATGCATCCACTGTCCGGTATCTTCTTTGATCTGGGGGCATTTCCTAAAGGTTTTGGAGATTAGCTGGACCATGCCTAAATCAGTGAAGGAGCTGCTGATGTGTTGGAGAGTTGAAGGTCTCAGCAAGAAAGGAAAGATTGTTTGGAGTTCCATCCCGGCAGCTGTGTTTTGGTCCATTTGGACTGAAAGGAATAACAGAATCTTCTGTGGTAAATTTAAAAGCCCGGATGAAATTGTGCAGAGAACCGTGGGGAAGCTATGCTCCTGGGTGTCGGTGAATGAGGAATTTAAAAACCAGAATGTACCCTTTTTGTTTTGTTCCAAGTATTGGATGAGCTTCTAATTTGTATTGTGCCCAGGCAGATATAGTGGCCTGGGTCTTGTTGTATCTTTCCTCATTAAGATGAATAAAGTACTTTGCCATTTTCCAAAAAAAAAAACAGTTTATATGCTTTTTACATGTCTTAAATAAAATAATTGGAACTTTTGTTGTTTGTTTGTCTTATTTTACTTTTCGCTTATATAACAAGAAACAATAGGGAATTAGATGCAAGTTCTAAACCCAACCCGCCCCTATCCTTGAATGCGGGGAGGGTTTTGCATTTCATGTGCAGGGAGGGCTTGATTCTCAAAATCCAACAACCACTACGAGTTTTGGGCCAGGTACTTGTTGCAAGGTTTAAGGATGCAAATAGGGTCTAGAATTTACAAAACCCTCCCCAAACCCGCCACATTGCCATCCCTAAGGCCACCCCAAAACTACCAATATGCTTTTGCAGGTATGGATGATCCTATAATGTCCTCGATAGAAAATCTGTCCTGCTTTGTTTTGATATAGAGTAAAATCCTTTCACCACTGACTTGTAACCTTTTATTCTATTTAATGAAATTTTCTTGTTACTATTAAAAAAATCCTATCCTGTTCATAACAGAATTGCATCCATTTCAAGTACTTTTCCCATTCAACACTTCTACTTCAACCATATGCAAAATCTTGTAATCAATTGTGTTTGGAAAAATCCATCACTCAAGTTGGACCTATATGAACAAACTGAAAGATTTTAAGTGATGTGACAGGTGATAGACCTAATATCTCATCCACAGTCCTAGCATTATTCCTTATACTCCAATAGAGCAATTATTCTATTAAAATCTAGTGAAATATGTTTCTTTCTAGAACAAAGATAGGAAGAATTTCTGCCACAATTTGACTTGAGGAATCAATAAAGAGGCAACTCACATGCATAACCTTCTAGGTTCTCTTTTATTATTGGAGAAAGATTAAGCATATTTATTCAAAAAACAGGAGAAGGAATGGCTACCCCATGGATACCAAGGACCTGTACACTGGGAATATGCAAATAAAACAACCAATGATTATACGAAAAGTAAACTTTTACCAAAAACAGAGTCAACATGCTTCCCCATGAAAAGATTGTGGACATCAAGACAGGAAATCAACCTTGTTTTTAATTCACTAATTAACAGACACACCTTTCTTCTCAAAATTTCTGGAGTTTCTTTCAGCCAATGACCTTCGAGAAAATTTACCATAAGGCTGTGTTTGGCAAGTGTAAATGCAAATTTGTTCAGTACAAAGCAGATAGAGGTTAAATGTACCGAACTGTTTGCATTTGTACTGAAAAAATTTTCATTTGAGCTCTTGCCAAACACAGCCTAAATAACAAGACCACACTGAAGAAATAAGGAAGGTGATTCCAAAAATTCCATGAATAAACTTAGTAGCCCCCACAACTACATAGACCAAGGATAAATGCTTTGTTATCTTACTCAATAAATGAAAGTAGAGAAGGGACTATTGTGTAGTGAAACCTACTAACTACATAAGTTTGAGGAAAGAAACCTCTAACATGATTTACTGACCAGATGAATGAAGGAAATGGACCGTGCATAAAGATTTCTCTCCAAAACCATAAAAAGTCCATGCAAAAATAACAACCCGATGCAGCAAAAACTAATTTGTGAGGCAAACTACAAGGCTAAAAAATCAGGTTAAACAGCACGTATGCGAGTGCCTTCAGTATTACACTGAAAGAAATTTTACGAAGTTTATTAAAAGAGAAACATGGGAGCATACATGCAACAACTTATGCTAACAAGCTAGTATTATTAGCAGTAATCACAGATAGATATCATGGAGGAAAAAGAAAGAAGGAAACTCTCAGATGCGAATTACATGTCTGAATTATGTAATATTCATCCAACACAATATCAAGGATCGCGAAAATAAATTATAGGCTTAAACAAAGAAGCAGAACCTGTAAAGCTCTTCAAAACTGAGCCCGCTGGCATTGTGATTATATATCTCGTGGATTGCATGCTCTAGTATTTTCCATGTCTTCTCTGCGTACTTGGGATCCACCACCACCCGATGTTTAAAGGCCTCTATCTGGAAGTTTCTTCTTTTAGGAGTACTCATTTCTTCCCCTCAACCTATTGCCAAATACTACAAGTCGATGAAAGTGCCTTGGAATCCCCAGGAGAAACCCTAGAACACGATTACTTGTTGAGTATACGAGATACTGATGTTCTATTCAAAATCTCCAAAAGATGAGCCCGAGAATCGGATTAAATATTGCGTGACAAACAACTAAAAGTCCACCAGAGGACCTTAGCAAGAAAAATTCGATGAATTGTGATTTCTACAAGAACAAAAAAAAAGTGCTTTCGCCCCAGAACCAGGCAATTAAAATGATTTTCTGATCAAAAAATTACACAGGCTAAGCTGGGTAGGAGTTTCCAAAACCCATAGAAAGGAAATAATAGATCTGCCACGAATTTGGCAAAGCAATCTGAAAGCCCGTAACTTGAACCAACCCTTCTCCAAGAATCAGAGAGAATGACAACCACCTTGCGTATATAAAGAAAAGCGAACTTACGGATGGCGAGAGCCAGGGATTATGGTCTGAATTCTGAAATCAATAATGGCTTTGTTGGAAATGAGTGAGAAAATATAAACAGATGCCGAAACGCCCAAAATCATCAATCGAAGAAGAAATTAAAAACCCTCGAATGTTGTCCTCAAGGTTTTTGATTACTTTTTTCTCTCTTTATTTATTTATTTTAATGTTATTTGTAATGTTTAGTTATTAATTTTTATATATTTATTTATTTAATTGGCTTTCATGGGGCTACCGGCTACACATCAACGGGGGTTGCCCATCCCCTTCCTACCTTAACCCCCCAACCTGGCAGCGGGGACTTGATCCCAGGTAATTTTTAATAATTGATTGATTGAAGATTTTTTGGTAAACGATCGATTGAAGTCGAAGGAACAAAATATGCAAGCCTTCGCCAACAGTTTACTTCACGTTCAGGTAACGGCGGAAGTTTATCCAAGAATTCCTACGATATGAAAATGGTGTGCCACTGCTCCATCTTCCTCAGTGGATCCTTCTCTTCTGAACCGTACAATCAGCCAACCTAAATATTGATCCTCAAAAGTTCAACAAATCAGACAGTGGTAGGTTATTCTAGTTATCTGATTGTTGACTTGATCCTTCTATGACCTAGAACCTCTTCCCTCTATTATTAGTGGCTTTCTGAGTTCTGAATCATCTGATCCTGATGGTTGTTGGCATTTTACAGCTAGCGATAAATCTGAGCCCTGTGATCATCCAGATCCAATTAATGGGAGGAACATCGCACATAACGCCATTAAGTTGCTGAAATTGTTCTGTAGATCCAACGGTTCTAATTAAAAGCTCGCTCTTTTTTAAAAGAGAAAAAGCTCGCATGAAAGCCACTAAAAACCTTTGGACAATGAGCAGCCTCAGAGAAGCTGCCGGTGTCCACGCGACGGGAAGGATGACGCGCAGTGGCTTCTGTGGACTGTGGCTTTTCGAGGTAAGCCCCACACGGACGGTATGCTGAAAAATGACAGCCCAAATCGATTGTCTAATTGTCTTTGATTTTGGAATGATTCTTGGTCGGGTCAGGCTTTGCAATTATAATAAGGGATAGCGGGGACCGTGTAATGCATGAGATTTATTAAGTAAAAGATAAATAATAGAAAGGGCTATTTATTAAAATATCTTTATAATTTTATAGATTTATTAAAATCTACCTTATAATTAGTATTTTATTAAAACACCACTTATAATTTGTAATGGATTTAATTAATCTTTCATTAGGTGATAGGGAAAAATGATAGTGTTAACCCTAATGCTCATTTAAATAAATTTAATCAAAAGAAAATAGAAATAAAAATATCATTTTTGCCCTTAATAAAACACAGGCAACCACTTTATTGGCTATATTTGGCCAATTTTGTTTTCTATATAAAAAAAATATTTAGGGTATTTTTAAAATAAAAAATCATGGGCCTAATGGCAAAACAAACACTCCTTAATGAAACGTTGATTAAGTAACTAAGCTGTAAAATATATGGGATGTTTTAAAAAAATGAAAACTATAAGGTAGGTTTAAGTAAAAAATGTGTGTTCTAGTAAACGACCCTAATAGAAACACATAAGAGTATACAATTGTTTTATATTTTCAACTTTTTAAATAATTAATAATTATTCATATTTTATATACTACTTTTAATAAATTTTTTATAATACAAAAATAACAATAATTAATTTCAATTAGTTTTATTCATCAAACTTATGAAACCGACCAACCTGAGTTGGTCGGTTTTCTAGTATTTTAGGTTAGCTTTAGTTCAAAAATTTCTCAATTCAACCAAATTGGATTAGTTTCACTTTGGCCATTTGTAAACAAACCAAAATCGAACAACCTAACCATGGAAATATACTAATATTTTATATTTTAAATATAATTTTTATTATGAAAAAGTGAGCAAATTTTCATATTTCTTAGTCTAAAATATTTTATTTAATAAATCTAATTTTTAAATTTATTTTTTAATAATTGCACTATAATTTTTAAAATTTAATTTAATTTTTAAGTTTAAATCTTTTGAACCAACTAACCTTTTGTGAAAACCGACCCAAACCGATATAACTTGAATGAGTCAATTTTCATAAAAGGTCAGTTGGTTTCAGTTGACAAATTCCCCAATCTGACCAAGTCAATTTTGTTGGCCAAATAGCCTACGACTGAACCACCAACTCATAAACACTCATAATTTCAGCTAAATTAATAGTCTCATCTTTGATAAATAACAATAGTTTAATCTCCAATAATTATTGACAATTTATAGCAAAAATACACAATTATTGAAAATATGTTGATAATGAAAAAAAATACAATAATTACAAAAATACAATAAGTACTAAAAATATATTAAATTAGTTAATAAATGGTATAATCTCAAATAATAGTTTAATCTCTAATAAATATTAATCAATGAGTTTTAACAAAAATACAATAAGTACAACAAATTAAATTTAAAATTTTCACTAATAATAGTTTAATCTCCAATAATTATTGAAAATTTTCTATTAAATAACAAAACAAAATAAATTTATACATAATCATTGAAAATACATTTATGACAAAAACAATAAATAATTATTGAAAGATATTAATTTTAGTATGTATAATTATATAATAAATAAAACTAAGAGTTTAAAATTATTATTAATAAATATTAATTTTTTCGAAAGATATTTTCTCTAATTATTACTTAATATAATTGAAATTAGTTATTTAAAATATTATGTAAAAAATATTAAATTATTATTAATTTCAATATTATGTTATAATTATTTTTCTAATTTTTATATTTTTTTAATTTTTCACATAATTTCTTTATTTTAACTATTTAAAATCTAGTTATGTTAAATATTTTTTTATTTAAATACTTAAATAATATGTAAAATATTTAAATTTTAGAATATTAGTTATTTATGGAATTTAATTATCCATAAAATCATAATTTATACTATCATTACATAATTTCATTATTAATTTTGTAATATATTAAATTATTATTAATTTCAATATTATGTTATAAATAATTTTACGCTTTAAAGAATTTGTTTTAATTTATTACATAATTTCGTCATTTTAACTATTTAAAATCTAGTTATGATAAATGTCTAGTAATTTAAATATTTATATAATCTATAAAATATTTAAATCTTTTTGTTATTTGAATTTTATTTATTTATAGCTATTACATATTATTAAATGTTTGAAAAACATTTAAATTGATGATCCAAAAAAACATAATTTAAATTGTCAGTACATAATTTCATGATATATTTTGAAAAAATACAAAATTATTTATTAGATAATTTCATTATCTTAACTATTTAAAATATAGTTATTGATGATGCACAATCTGGCCGGTCTTAGCTGTCAATGATCTTGCCTCTGAACTGAGTAACAGGGACCTGAAACGGAAGGAGAAGAGAAGCTCCGGGGAGAACCCGGCGTAAGGGCTCCGAAGCTCAAGTTAGAATCCTTCAAAGGCAAGATAAACCAGATAGCG